GCAGCGAGGATGCTGTTCAGGGGCTGCAGCAGAAAAACACAAACTGGCCTCAGTTTCCTTTAGGGCCAACTATCTGTCAGATGGGCTTTTCCCATTTTCAGGCCTCACTCCACAGATTGTGCTGGAGTGTTGGGGGAGGCAAGGCCAAGAAACTCCCCCTAATTCTGCCTCTGCCAAGTGGAGATGAGAAAAACTGTACCAACTGCAGACCAGCCTCCAGCTCTGGAGCCGAGTGAATGGGGGGCTTCTCCCGCCTTTCCCTCCCTAACTCACTCTGAAGTCACACTGGCTCATTCCCTTGGAATGCTCTGCCCCCAGGTCTTCTCACGACTGGCTTCTTCTGGTCATTTGGACCTCAGCCCAAATGGCATCATCTTCCTTGCCCACCAGTCTGATCAAGCAATCCCCACTTCTTGGGTTAAGTTTCCCAGAAGCGAAGCCTGAGATGAGGATTCGTGTGCAGGTGATTTATTAAGAATGCACCGCCTGGGGAATCCAGTTAGGGAGTGGGTGACACAGGATGAGATGTTAGAAGAAACCATGCAAGGGTGTGAATTGAGGCAAAGTGCCAGCCTCAGCCTGATCCCACAGGAGTGCTGGTGTAAATTAGGACTGAGAGTTTGTCTGGATTCACTGCAGGGGAGCTGGGCTTTCACGCTCCTGCCCCAGTCAGTCCTTGGGTAAGGCTGTCCGGAGGAGGATCGTGTGAACATGACCTCCCAGGCACTCCCAGCTCTCGCACCTGCCCATGAACTGGCTCCAAGGCCCAAAGGCAGACCTTTGAAGACAGTCACAGGGGCAGGCTGTGTGAGGGCAAAGGCACTCAGGAGCAGGGGATGGGCACACAGACCCAGCCAAGGCACCTACAGCATCCGCTCACCCTCTACCCCCATCATTCTCAAACATACACCCTTGTTCTATTTTCCTGAATGCACTTATCACTATCTCAGATTATCTTGTTTACAAAGGTATTTACTTACCGTCTGTCTTCCCAACTGGAATAAAGTCTCCATAAAAGCAAAGATCCAGCTGTCTTGTTCACTGTCCACCCCCAGGCATAGAACCACTGCCTGGAACACAGGATGCTCAATAAATATTTGTTGAAAAAATGAATGAACCAGGCTGACATGCTATGACATGTTACACAACAGCGTGGGACCCAGAGGAGGGGCTAGTCCTTGGACCCTGTCTTAGAAGGCAGAAGGAAATGTGAGTGTGAAATAGGCACAGGATCTGGAGCTGGTAAACTTGGCGTTAGTAGCCACGTGACTTCAGACAAGTAAAGTCACTACGCCTCCTTGGCCTTAGTGTTCTTATCTGTATAGTAAAGGCAAGTGTGTACAGACTTAATTATGAGGATGTTCATCACACTGTTGTTTATTACAGTTAGTCATTGAAAAGAACCTAAGTATTCAACCTTGGGAGATTAATCATATCCACACAATGAAATACCATAGCAAACATAGAAATGGAGCTGTGAAAATACTATTTAATGACATGAAAAGATTTACAAAATATTTTGTTAAACGAAAAAACAGTGGGTTGTAAAACAGTATATGTAGTACAATTCTTTTGTAATGTATTTCACAGGTGTATATTTGTATCTGCATACATTAAAAAAAGAAAGTAAACACATTAAAATATTTATAGTGGTTACCTCTGGGTAAAGAGATCATGGGTTGTTTTTACTTCCACCTTTTATCTTGTCTGTGTTTTCTAAACTTTTCAAAGTGAAGAGTATTACTTTTGTGAGGGGAGAAAGGTGTTTTTTAAATTACATTTTTACAATATCAAAATAATCTCCAAGGACTATCCCAACATTGCTTGTTCTTACGAGAAGTTTGTGATGTGGCAGAAAGAGGATGGGACAGGTGCTGGCCCAACCTCTGCCCCCTGTTAACGGGGTTGCAGGGGGCGGGGTGACAGGGAGGCGGAACAGTGGTTAGTAAACGTTGAAACCTTAATCTCTCCGGGTCAGCTTCCTCATCTGTAAAATAAGTAAGCTGACTAGACGCCACCAAGAACCCTTACAGAACAGGAAGAGGGACGTTGCGTGAAAGAGCAAGCCGCGTGCATGCTATGTGCCACATATGAGAGGTCAGTACATACTAAGAGGCCCCATCGTTCACCGTCCCCGCGCAGGGGAACTCCTGGCCTCTGGATTTGAACATGCAGTCACTCAGGCTGACTCTGTCGCAGCGAGCACGTGGCCAGAACTCCTGGCCAGAAGGACCGCATGGGATGAGGCTTTCTAAGCACTTGTCATCTGCTCATACACAGCAGAAAAGGGTTGTTGTCCCCTAACGGAGCCAGGTCCTCCCAAAGCCTCCTTCATGGGTAACAAATAGCAGAGCTGTTGCTTTTTCTTAACAATATTTGTGATATTGACTGAGAGGCTGGGTGCGGAAAGTTTGAGGCTGATAATTAATCACCCCTTTTTCTTCTCTGACTTTTAAACCAAGTAAGAAAAAGACAGAAAAATAATGGAAGATCAACATGTCAGCTTTATTAGTGATCACCTGGATTACTGATACGGAGAACGGGGCTTGGGTATGCAGTCACAATGGGGCTTTGAATACTTTTCCCTGTGCCCTGAATTACCAACCCAAACTGCAGAGACACAGCCTCCCAGGTAAGCACTCTACAGGAAGGAGCAGCCAGAGGTGCTTCAGACAGAGAGAAGGGGGCAGAGGCCCACGTTCACACCCATTCCCTGGTCTCAGCAGTCAGACAGCCTCCCTTGTAGAGGAGCGAGAGAGAGTGGCAGAGCGAAGAGCAAACGGTACCCATCATTTTTGCCTCCTGGAGTTAGACGTTCCTTATTGAAACAGAATGTAACCTCCTTGAGGATTTCTCTATTTTGTTCATCGTTGAATCCCGAATCCCAAATCCCTAGATCTCAGTAAATACCCACTGGAGAATGAATGAATAGCAAAAGCAATCTTGAGAAAGAAGAACAAAGCTGGAGGCACCATGCTCCGTGATTGCAAACTATATTACAAAGTTATAGTAATCAAAACAGCATGGTACTGGCATAAAAACAGATACATAGATCAAGGGAACAGAATAGAGAGCCCAGAAATAAACCCACGCATATATGGTCAATTAATTTAAGACAAAGGAACCAAGAACACACAATGGGGAAAGGATAGTCTCTTCAAAAAGTGGTGTTGGGAAAACTGGACAGTCACATGCAAAAGAATTAAACTGGACCTTCTTACATCACACACAAAAATCAACTCAAAATGGATTAAAGACTTGAATGTAAGACCTGAACCCATAAAACTCCTAAAAGAAAACACAGGCATAAGCTCCTTGACATCAATATTGACAATGGCTTTTGGATTTGACACCAAAAGCAAAGGCAAGATAGCAAATATAAACAAGTGGAACGGCATCAAACTAAAAAGCTTCTGCACAGCAAAGGAATGAAAGGGCAACACATTGAACAGGAGAAAATATTTCCAAATCATATATCTGAGAAAGGGTTAATATCCAAAATATATAAAGAATTCATACAACTCAATAGAAAAAAAATTTTAAATCTGATTTAAAAACAGGCAGAGGGGGGCCGGCCCCGTGGCCAAGTGGTTAGGTTTGACGGCCCAGGGTTTTGCTGGTTTGGATCCTGGGTGCAGACATGGCACCGCTCATTAGGCCATGCCGAGATGGCATCCCACATAGCACAACCAGAGGCACTCACAACTAGAATATACAGCTATGTTCTGGGGGGCTTTGGGGAGAAGAAGAAGAAAAAAAAGATTGGCAACAGATGTGAGCTCAGGTGCCAATCTTTAAAAGCAAAACATGGGCAGAGGATCTGAATAAACATTTTTGTAAGGACATACAGATGGCCAACAGGTACATGAAAAGGTCCTCAACATTACTAATCACAGGGAAATGCAAATTAAAACCACAATGAGGGCTGGCCCCACGGCCGAGTGGTTAAAGTTCCGCACGCTCTGCATCGGCAGCCCAGATTCGCGGGTTCAGATCCCAGGTACAGACCTACTCCACTCATCAGCATCCCATATACAAAGTGGAGGAAGATTGGCACAGATGTTTGCTCAGGGCAAATCTTCCTCAAGCAAAAAAAAAAGGAAGATTGGCAACGGATGTTAGCTCAGGGCAAATCATCCTCACCAAAAAAAAAGAAAAAAAAACCCCACAATGCCACAACAAGTTATCACCTAACACCTATCAGAATGGTTATTATCAAAAAGACAAGAAATAAGTGTTGGAGAGGATGTGGAGAAAAGGGAGCCCTTGAGGACTGTTGGTGGGAATGTAAAGTGGTGCAGCCACTATGGGAAACAGTAGGGAGGTTCCTCAAAAAACTAAATATAGAACTATCCCATGATCCAGCAATCCCACTTTTTCTGAAGAAAGTGAAAACAGTAACTCGAAAAGATATCTGCACCCCCTGTTCATTGCAGCATCATTTACAACAGCCAAGGTATGGAAACAACCTGAGTGTCCGTGGACAGAAGAACGGATAAAGAAGATGTGGTATATACACAATGGAATATTATCCAGCCATAAAAAGGAGTGAAATCCTCCCATTTGTGACAACATGGATGGACCTTGAGGGCATTATGATAAGTGAAATGAGTCAGACAAAGAAAGACAAATATATGTGGAATCTAAAAAACAAAAGAAGCTCGAAGATACAGAAAACATATTGGTGGTTGCCAGAGGTGGGAGAAGGGGGAGGGACAAAATGGGTGAAAGGAGACAAAAGGTACAAACTTCCAATTACAAAATAATCAAGTCATGAGATGTAATGTACAGCATGGCAACTATAGTTGACAATACTAATGGGGATATTTGAAAGTTGTCAAGAGTATAAAAATAGTTCTTATCAAGGAAAAAAAAATTCTGTAACTGTGTATGGTAACAGATGTTAACTAGACTTCCTGAGGTGATCGTTTCACAATATATACACGTATCGAATCATTGTTGTACACCTGAAACTAATATAACGTTGTATGTCAATTACACTTCAATAAAAATAAATTAATTAATTTAAAAGAAAGAATGAATGGAAACATGAGAACTTGGGAACAGGATTTTCCCTAACAATAAGGAGTTCTTTGAAATTATTTCCACAGCTGAACTAGCTCCCCGTTTGTTCAATTGGAAGTACCAGATCTAAAGAGTAGCATTGTCTGTCCCTTGTTGCAGGGTGTCTTGGTGGCTTAAAAGAGTAGTCAAAGCACCCAAGATACAAGACGTCTTGGGGAGAGTCTAGAAAGAGTTGATTGGACCCCGTCATTCGACTGGGGTCTTGCTCAGGCTTAGGCGAAAGACGGCCAGTTACCCAATCCTACTGACCTAGGGTTCTCACGGACAAAATGGCCCCCGCCAGTCTGGTCCTTATTAGAGTCTCCACAATAAAGACTAAGAACAGGTGTTAGCATAGAGCAGTGTATCTCTCCAGTCAGCTCTAGGAACCACGTCCCCTACAGTTTATGTGGTGTCTTATTTTTCGTTATTGTTAATACTTTCCCACGTCCATATATCCTGTTTCTCACAGAGACATAAACCAACTGGATACGTTTCTACCATCACAATAATTCCTAATTCATTCTACATTCCAAATGCTTTGTACTAGCTTGAGGAAGAAAAAAATCCAATTTAAAATTAGGATTTTGTTTTTAAAGTAATGGTATTAAAGTCAATTTTTAATATCAAAAATGGATCTAGAAGTAAGTATAGATTAAATCAGTGGCGCGTGTGCTTGGAATAAATGTTGGGAGCTATGGAAGCATCTCCGCGATGACGTATACATTAAGTTTCAATTTTGTTCTTTACTGTATCTCTGAATGACAGACATGCTGAATGCAGACCTCAATTTAAGCCTTCTCTTTTTTCTTTCTTTAAAATTCTGTACCAATTAGATATTCTCTAGAAAATGTTCAGCATATTCATTTTACCTTCTCTTTTAGTAATTTCATATACAAAAAGGACCATTTTTAAACTTAAATAACATGATAATGAAACTATAAGCTAGCAGTAGGCATGGATCAGATGTATTTTTATTTCTAAAGGTTGTGACAGACAGACAAAGAGGATGAGTCTGTAGAGACAGATTTTGAAGCTTATACAGAATATAGGCATATAATGGTGTCCTCCTAGTCAATATTCTAATTAGGATGGAAGACATCCTGTGACATGACTTCTGTGTCCCAGAAAATAACTCCTTTCTCTAACCTTTCTGCAAATTTTGACAGCCCCGTTGGTTCAGATATTTCATTACACTGGACCAGCGGTTCTTAATGGGGGCAATATTGAATCTGTCCTTCCCCAGGGGACATTTGGCAAAGTCTGGGACATTTTTGGTTGTCACAACTGGGGGAGAATGTGCTACTGACATCTAGTGAGTAGAGGCCAGGGATGCTGCTAAACAGACAGTAATGCTCAGGACAGTCCCCTACTACAGAGAATGATCTATCCCAATATGTCAATAATGCCACGATTGGGAAACTCTGCACTTGACTCTTAATACTGAGCAATCTTCTAGATCTGTGCTGTGGGGTGACTAAGGGAGGAGTCACAGGATGGATAGATCTTCTGCCTTAAAAAGATGGGTCTGATTTAAATAAGTGGAGGGGCATTCCAGGAGAGAATTTCAAGGTAGGAAAAGGGGTCCATAAGCAGGCACATGCATGAAATGCTGAGAAAACAATGATCAAGTCAGCCTTTCTTAAAAGGAGAACCTGCTTTTGGGTATGCTAAGATAAGCGGCATTTGGGAAGCCGCATTTGGGAAGAACTTAAATGTGTTTCGTTAAGGAATTGAACTCTATTCTTATATTTAGTAGTGCAAAATTGGCAACTTTAGAACAGGAAATGAACATATGTTTTACCCACTTTTGAAATGCAGCTGCCCAGAACTAGTTCCAAGGGTCTCATAGTGGGTAGTCCAGATTAGAGATGAAAAAGCAGGAGACAGAGAAGTCACTTACTAGGTTATCATAAATAACCAAACAATATGAGCCGAAATTATAGTAGTGATTGTCCTGGAAGAAAGGGACAAGAAAAAAGAAGATATCACAAAGAACAAAAGATTTGGCTATTCCTCAGGGAGTTTGGTGATGGTAAACAAAGGGATTTGGAAGTAGGAAGCTGGGACTAAGAGAACCAGGAATATTCTGAAGCTGACAGTCTGGGCAGGGTGGGAATCAACAACCAGATAGGTGGTAAAGGGTAAAGAAGTGCGCCTGAATCAGAATTCAGAGTAATGCATTATCACGCCAGATTTCAGCTAGGCAAAAGCAATAAATTCTTGTCTCCTCAACAGCGCATGCACATTCCTCCTCTGAACTTTTTCCCATTCGAATTTTCATCTGTAATAATCTCCTCTCTCTCTCCACTTTCCAACTAACACCCACCTTTGAGGCCCAGCTTAAGACATATCTTCCTCATCGATACTCTCCACGTCACTGCAGAAGAAGAATATAGACAATTGCCCAGTATTCAGTCTAGAATGGTACAAAAAGACATGAAGCTAAGGAGACATGAATATTTACAGGTTACAGATATAGCCTAGAACCCAGGAAGGCCTGGGTCAGAAATCCAGCCAAACAGTTCAGTACCAAGAAAACCTAGATGCCAGAGACAAACAGCCAGGAAACTCAAGAAATCCGGAGGGAAACACAGGGGTAAGATACGAGGCAGCGTTTAGTCACAGAGAGGGAAATAAACATTAGTTAAGAGGAATGTGGTAAACAATCCAGTGTGGGGAGTAAGGCCCAGTCAAGAACAGGAGTCTGGAGTCAGACCAGGCTCGGATCCGGCTTCTCTGCCGTGACGTTGCCAGCACTTCACTGCACTTGCCTGAGCCTGTCTGCTGAACTGTAAATAGAGAGCATTATGTCCACTTCACAGGACGGTTGTGACTGAATGATATGGTTAATGAGCTGAGAGATTGCGATTAAGTGAGATTAAATGATATACATGTGACAGGAAAGATGTTTTGAATTTATTAAGGTGTTTTTCTCCTTCGTCTCTGATGACATGGCCTATGTCCGAGTCCATTGCTTTTCCAACTTTAACGTTGACACTTACATCTGAAGACTTGGTTAAAATGCAGATTCTGGTCCAGTAGCACTGGGTGGAACGTAGCCTCACCTAGATTCCACACTGCTGACAAGGTTTGTGACAGAAGGGATGCAAAAGAAAGACAGAGATAACATTAAACTTCTGAGGTTAAAACTAGGGTTTTGCTAGGAGACAGTAGACATGTAAGCAGGTTCAGGGCTAGACCCTAGAGTTTTATGTAAATGATGACCAGATTAGAAGAGGAAGGGGAGCCAGTCAACTCCATTCCAGCCCCACAGGATTGTGGGAAGAGGAAGCTAGAGGGAAGCGGGAGGGCAGAGTGGGGACATGCATGTTTCACTGCTCCTCTCTCTGGGCTTTCCCCCTGAGAGGGGGAGGCGCGTTAGGTAAATGAAGGTAATACTGAGGGAAAGATTTAGCTTTCCCAAGCTGCCCTGGGTTTCCACATTGGTTTGGTAGGTTTCCACAATAGCTGAGATTCTGACCTGAAAGCTATTCAGAGAGGCTCTCCACGACGTGGTGAAGGACTCCAAAGCAGACCTCCTGAGCTGGGGCCACTGGGGGTTACAGCCAGGTCTCAAAGGAGTCCCTCGACCAGCTATATGGAAAGAGAGACTAAGTGGGCCAGGAGCAGGATCACAGCCCACCCAGAGCTAGAGAGAACAGCCACCGACTTTAGCCATCCACGTCAGAGGAGCAAGCTGCACCCAGTGGACAAGAGACATTGGCCTGGAGCCCAGAAGAGAAAAGGACATCACCCCTAAGGACTCTGGTTCTTCCATATTGTTCTAGGACTGTGGAAAGCTGCCCCCTCCGTGCATATCCCTAACAACATTTTAGAAAAGAAGCAGCAGAGGGAGGGAGGCTCTCTGAGAAGCTGAGCGTTTTCATCCAATAGATGAAATTGCTCAGTGCTACCTAAGGGAGAGATTTAATTTATGGGATTGGACTAAGCTTGCAATTGGACTGGACAGTTAAATAATTTCCCCCAGTGGGTTCAGGCTTGAGAAGAAGGCCAAACTTCTTAGAGACAAAATGAAGATATGAATTTTTATCTAAACATCCAAGCTACAGCTGAGTTAAATTTGCAACCACGCTACAAATATATGAAGTGCTCAGCAATGTGTCGGCTACACAGAAAGTGATTGACAGATGGTAACCAGGTTAAGTAGGTTAAGTAAGGACTAAGAAAAGGCCACTGGATCCCACAGTTAAGAAGACAGCATTCCCTTTTGGGAGAGTGGCTTCAACAGAATGATAAGGGTGGAATTAGCCACAGAAGATGCTCAGCCTAACTGTGAAAGCCAGGACACTCAGCACAGCTCTCATTCCACATAGCGGCAGGAAGCGGTGTGGATAGAGTAGAGATGAAATCCTCCCTCCCAGGGCAGAGTTCAGGGTATCATCCAGTGAGTGGAAGGATCCCTTAGGGGAGTTTGGATCCTATTTCTGGAAATTGGCTCCAAAGCAATTCTCTTAATGAGAATGGGTTTTTTGCCAAGTGTGGAGATGGTACTTAAATATGAAAAAAAAAAATTATACACTCCAAAGCTATAGCCAAGAATTCTTCATTTAAAAACAATCCTGAAAAAATTAGTTCATTCTATACACCCCCAAATTGTGGTTTCATCACGTCACAGTCTGGAGAGGACTCTTGCTTCTCTCAAGGCACTTTCACTTCCCTTACCTCAGATAAGGACTGCTCTTCATTCACACTCCCGGGTAGGTGTTTCCTAATGACCGGGGCATAATTCTCTCCCTAAGCAGAGCAGAGTATTTGTTCAACAGCGGAGTAGTCGCTCTTAGAGAAATTGTGAAATGGGGAGGCTTGTCCTGACCACCCACACTTTCTCTCTGGAACCACACAACATAAATTTGCCATCTCTCCAACGTCGCCAATACACAAAGCCCTCAGCCCACCCCTGGTTACCTAGGCGTCTCCTCTCCCAGATGCTCTCACACAGCTGCTTCCCTTCCCCAAACCCAAGCCATGCCCCAGCCCTGCCCTCACCTCACTCCTCCACCTCCTCCTCCCAAGTATGCTGGTGCCATGTCCCATGATCTCAGGCCCCACCCTTTCCCAAGGACAAAAGCGAAAAGCCTTTTAGATGACCCAGTATCATTACTCATAGGTATCTTGGTTACCTTGTGAAAATACTTAGTGTCACATGAAAAGATGCTCAACATCATTAGTCATTAAGGAAATGCAAGTCAAAAACACAGTGAGATACCACCTCATACCCACTAAGATAGCTATAATCAAAAATGTGGAAAATAACAAGAATCACTAGTGTTGGTAAGGAAGCGGAGAAATTGGAACCCTTGTGCACTGCTGCTGGAAATGTAAAATGATGCAGCCACTGTGGACAACAGCATTGTGGCTCCTTAATAATTTAAAAATAGAATTACTATATGACCCACCAATTCCACTCCTAGGTATATACCCAAAAGAATTGAAAACAGGCGTGCCAACAAACACTTATACGTGAATGTTCATAGCAGCGCTACTCACAATAGCCAAAAGGCAGAACAGACACTGAAATGAATGGATAAACAAATTGCACTATACACATAAAAGGGAACGTAATTCAGCTGTAACAGGAATGAAGTACTGATACAGGCTACAACAACGTGGATGAATGTTGAAGACGTGATGCTAAGTCAAAGAAGCCAGACACAAAAGGTCACTCATTCTATCATTCCATATATGAAATATTCAGAATAGGCAACTCCGTAGAGACAGAAAGCAGATTAGAGGATACTTGGGGCTGGAGGGATGAGGGGACAGGGAGTAACTGCTGAATGGGTGTGGGGTTTTATTTTGGAGTTATAAAAATATTTTGGAACTTGATAGAGGTGGTGGTTGCACAATATTGTGCATGTGCTAAATGCCATTGGATTGTTCACTTTAAAATGGTTAGTTTTAGGGGCTGGCCCCGTGGCCGAGTGGTTAAGTTCGCGCGCTCCGCTGCAGGCGGCCCAGTGTTTCGTTGGTTCGAATCCTGGGCGCGGACATGGCACTGCTCATCAGACCACGCTGAGGCAGCGTCCCACATGCCACAACTAGAAGGACCCACAACAAAGAATATACAACTATGTACCGGGGGCTTTGGGTAGAAAAAGGGAAAAAATAAAATCTTTAAAAAAAAAAAAGAAAGATATTTAAAAAAAATGGTTAGTTTTATGTTAGGTGACTTTCACCTCAATTTCTTTTTTTTTTTAAGATTTTATTTTTCCTTTTCCTTCCAAAACCCCCCCAGTACATAGTTGGGTATTTTTAGTTATGGGTCCTAGTTGTGGCATGCAGGACGCTGCCTCAGCATGGCTTGATGAGCGGTGTCATGTCCGCGCCCAGGATTCGAACTGGCAAAACCCTGGGCTGCTGAAGCAGAGCGCACAAACTCAACCACTCGGCCACGGGGCTGGCCCCATCACCTCAATTTCTTAAACAATATTTATGTCTCCTTAAGACCATCAAAAAGTAACCCAGAGCCAGCCCTGATGGCCTAGTGGTTAAAGTTCAGCACTCACACTGCTTCGGCGGCCCAGGTTTGCTTCCTGGTCGCAGGTCGCAGAAGCACACTGCCCATCTGTCAGTTGCCATGCTGTGTTGGCGGCTCACACAGAAGAACTAGAAGGACCTACAACTAGGATACACAACCATGTACTGGGGCTTTGGGGAGGAAAAAATAAATAAAGAGGAAGATTGGCAACAGATGTAAGCTCTGGGTGAATCTTTCACCACCAAACAAAAAAAAAGAAGTAACCCAGAGTGAGAATACAGGGCCTATAAACATCTTGAGAGCAGAGGTTATATCTCGAGAATTTATATCCCCTATAGAAGGAAGCAAGGTGCCTGGCACACAGATATTAATAAATATCAGCAGAATGAATGAATGGGTGAGTGCTCTTCCAATGTTGTATACAGCATGTTGTTGCGGGCGGTTGCCAGCCCTGCCCCTGCCCCCAAGGGCAGCTGCCAGTTCTGCATCTTTCCTGGCAATGAGTCCACGTAGCAGTCGCAAAATATCTGTGGGCTGGAAAATCCTTTCCTGTGTCCCAATACTTTGAGACTTAGTAAGGAATCTGTGCCATTCTTTTTCTCAACTTAAAATTGCACATTTTGCTATCCTGGTTAGAGAGATGCCACTGACTGAAATATCTTGCCTCAAGAGTGGGTGACATCAGCATCTCATTATCAAAATTTTCCTCCCTGCAAAGCTTTCATGTTCTTATAGAGAATGTTCCAGTTTAACGGTAAGCCCCTTAAAATGCAGGGTTGTAACTAATTGCGAGGGAGGAATAGCTCTGTTGCAATACAAGGTGGCTAACCCATTAAAACCGCAAAACAGAACTGAATTTCCTGAAATAAGTTGCATCTCATTGCGAGGCCCTGATTCCAGTCTGAATTTATTTTGTAATTCATTCAGTATCTCAAGTCCTAATGTCTCTTTCATCATGCTGGTACCTTCTTTATTGCCCAACCTGACTACAGGTGAGATAACTTTAAAACACTTTTTGAGGGGCTGGCCCCGTGGCCGAGTGGTTAAGTTCACGCGCTCCGCTGCAGGCGGCCCAGTGTTTCGTTAGTTCGAATCCTGGGCACGGACGTGGCACTGCTCATCAAACCACGCTGAGGCAGCGTCCCACATGCCACAACTAGAAGGACCCACACAAAGAATACACAACTATGTACCGGGGGGCTTTGGGGAGAAAAAGGAAAAAATAAAATCTTAAAAAAAATAATAATAAAAAAATAAAAAAACACTTTTTGAGTTTTATGCATTTTATAATAATTATGAGCATCTTCCCCAAGCCAAATATGGGATGAAGACAGGTTCCACTGGAGGTTTTGCCTTCTGTTTCAGTGAAGCGGCATTTCAGAATTTCAACATAAGTTTGTCAATACCAACTAATACAACTCAGTTTCCAAAAGCCAGAGATGCTATTGGAAGAAGAGTTTTAATGAGAAATACAATTAAGAACTAACTGGGGCTGGCCCTGTGGCCGAGTGGTTAAGTTCGTGCACTCCGCTTCGGCAGCCCAGGGTTCACTGGTTTGGATCTGGGGCGTGGACCTAGCACTGCTCATCAAGCCATGCTTTGGCAGCATCCCACATAGAAGAGCTAGAATGTCTTACAACTAGGATATACAACTATGTACTGGGGCTTTGGGGGGGAGAAAAAAAAGAGGAAGATTGGCAACAGATGTTGGCTCAAGGCCAAACTTCCTCACCAGAAAGCATACCTTTGAAAAAAACAAAGAACTAACTGCAACTGTGGTCTTGGAAGCCACTGCTTACACTTGTCTTTGACAATACAGCATCCAGCTCAAGCGTGGTTATCGCTCTAATCATAGAAATGCAGATAGGATTTTTCCAGTTTACCAAGCAATTTCACAGACCTTATCTAATTCGATCTTTCCAACATCCAAGGAGATGAGTATGTCAGCTACTGTTATCTCTATTTTAAAAATTCACAAACTGAGATTTAAGAATTTTAAGAATTGGCTCAAGGTCACGTACTTTGTAAAAGCACAGACCAGGCTTAAATCCAGTTCATCAAACGCCAGACCTCTAGCCTCTCACTTCCGTGCCAGTCCCTGTCCCCCAAGAACATGAGTAAACCACCAAAATAATTGGAGAGTTTTACTGAAGCGATCTGGCCTCCAGCGCTTCGCTGTGCCTTGCAGAAAGAGCTGCTCTGCCCTCAGTTCCTGCCACAGCCCCCCCCAGTTTTTGCACACAATCCGCAATATTAAACACACCATGGGTAGGAAGCAAGTTCCTTTTTCAAGTTATCCACCTAGCGTCTACACAGCTGCTGTTTACTGAAGGCTTTGGCAAAGAGCAGTGGGATTCTTATCCTATTCCTGATGTGATTTTTAATTTCCTGGTATTCCCTAATCTCGTTTCATTAAGTATATTCCTCCCATGCACGAGTTTGTACCCTCTCCGAAAAGAGAGAGGCGTCATGTCGTGGGCGGTGAGATCTGTGATTTCCCGGCTCCTGGATTCCCTTCTTTCTCTCCTGTAGTTAATAGTTTCCTGGCATGGGGCTTTAGCCTGGCAAAGCGCGGAGCGTGTTCCCGCAGCCTCGCTCACCTGCCCCTGGGTACTGCAGATGGCTGTCAGGTGACAGAACTCTTCCCCAACCCGCTACTTCCCCAGCAACTCACCTTCCCCACTGCACATCCCAGAGATGGCCATCCCAGGCCCAGCGTCAGTGTGGATCTCAGACGGACCCAGCTGAACATCTTCCCTAACGTTATTGGATTTGGCTAACTGCCGGTGCTGTTCAAACTCTTGGAGAAGTGCCAGGTTTGGTAATTCCTCTCATGGAGTCACTCAGTATCAACTCTCCACTTTCTTCCCTCTAGGCTTTCCTTCCCTGCTGGGAGGGAACGACAGGGCAGGAGAGAGAACAGGTTCATAAACACTTAGCTCTTTTCTGCTCTTCTGGACCATGCCAATGGGAGAGACAATGGGCAGCTGCCATGCCCTCAAGGGCTCTGGCTGCAGCCTCAACGCATTGCCTTTTCTTCACAGCTCAACCCCCTCCCCAAATGGGCTCAGGTATTTGCCTCTGCACAAACTCCTCCCAGGCTCCACACCAGTTTCTGTGTGACTCTTGTAGTTACAGGAAAGTCAACACTGTTATTGTCACTCCTGAGTCATACCTGCATCGCCAGGTATCAGACTGGACAAAAAAGGTTCTTCTATTTCTACTGATCCAAGTCATTCTGTTTCCACCTGGAAAACATAAACACAAACATTCCCAAATATCCATAACCACAAGAAAACCTCTTATAAGTGACCCTTCACATATGAGTTAACCCAACAATTTCCCCCACACTGCTTTCCTCCTGAATAGTCCTACCCAGCTCTCCCCCACTGGACAAACAAGTCTTTACCTATTTCTTGTTTCCTAATAAAGAGTATCTAAACTTTTCCCCATCCCCCATTGCTTCCCTCATCCCTCTCCTCTTTATCAGGGCTGCCCACCTTCTCATCTCATGTTCATTATGAACTCTTCAAAATTGTGCTTTGTGAGACCTTTATGACACACCATTCAGCCAGAGGGGCCGTTTGCCGAAAGCTGCACACCGGCAAATAGGCCACAAGTTCTTGAATTACCAGAGAGCCCAGAGCCCCTGGAGCTATTTCTGCCTTGAATTAAGCAGAAAAAGAAGCTGCTGCCAAGTGGAAATGAATTCCCACTGTGATACAAAGGAACGATTAAGGGGCAGCTACTGTCATCACCGCCCTTTACCAGAGGACAAAACTGGCGTTCAGATAAGTGAAGTGCCTCGTCCAAATGTTCACAGCTGATAAATGGCAGATCTGGGCCTCAATCCCCAGGCTGCGGGCATGACCACTATGCCAGCCTGCCATCACCACCAGCCTGCCATCACCGCCAACCTGCCATCACCGCCAACCTGCCATCCACCCAACCTACCATCACCACGAGCCAAGTTGTTTTGCCCCAACTGTGCTCACCAACAAGCCTTCTGGTAGTAATTTGGCTTCCTTTGTGGTTTTCCTCAAGGTTTAGAATTTGCTGACCAGCCAAAAAGAATATTTGGCTACATTTGACCACTATATTTATCCCTATAAATTAACAAGTTGGTATCTTCTAAATTAAAGGGAAAAAAATTGATTTGTCCTAATCTTTAAAACTTTTTCAAAGTTTTTCTGACCCATTGACATCTGGGGCAAATGAGTTTTACTTCAAAGGCTCTGAGAGTTTCTGAAACTCTCCTCGTATGTATTCTAGTAATTCCTCATTACACTATTGTATCAGTCGAATAATGAATGCTAGTTACCACAACAACTCTGAATAACGAAGGCTTATTTCTCGCACATGGAATGATCTGGTACAGGGTGCGCCTCTCCTCCATCTTGTAACTAAACCGTCTGGCATCTGTGGCTTCCAAGCTCACCACATGCATAGATTTAAGGACCAGGCCTGGGAGCAGCTTAAATCATCTTCAACAATATCGCATTGGCCAGAACCTAATCACATGACCTCAGACATGCAAGAGAGGTGGGAAAATGCGGGGAAGCAAATGCATATTTAGTAAGCAGTATCAGACTCTGCTATGACACTTCATTTATGCTGAGGACAGAAAATGGAAAGAGACAGGAAAAGAATAAAAAAGAAAAATCTTTAATCTTAAATCTCATTCACTGAGATTGTCAGTTAAGTTTTCCAGGCATTTATATATATAGAGAGAGAAACATATGCATTTCTATAAAGTATGCATGTATATATATATATATATATATCTCCATAGATAAATATATCCATAGATATATACACTTTTTAAAATTGGTATCACATTATACACACTGCTTTATAGCCTGTTTTTTCTAACAGAACATTTCCCATATCAATATACACATTGCTCCATCGAAATTCTTAGTTACTACATAACCTTCCATTTTATAGTTATCCCAGAATTTGCTTATTTCCCTATTTCATATTTAAATTGTTGCCAATTTTTTAACTGTTATAAATGATACTATGTAAGTATCCTTATAAATAAATACACGTTTGTGAATTTGTCACACTAGACTAAACTCCTAGAAATAGAATTGCTTAGCCAAAATATATGCAGTTTTAGATGGTTTTTATACATATTGCCAATAACCCTTCACAAAAGTTATACCAATTTACATTCCTTTATAACGTTTAAATCATTTCAACCTGTTACGGTGCTGCTCTCTATGAATGTTTTTGTGATTTCATGACAGTGGCTTCTATTTTGTTGTTATTCAACACTGGTGATGTTAAAATGTTCTTAGGGTTGATCGCATCCTTCAGTCCAACACTCACCACACTGCAATGGGATAAGCCCATACAACCCATCACGCCCCAGTCACAACCAAACGCTGGACGAACGCAGAAAACGACTACCCGAGAGCTCTGAAAAGTAAACAAGAACGGGCACAGGGAGGGAAGTCACCACTTAAAGAATGATTAATATGGCTGTGAGTTTCCTAGGTTTTCCTTTCTCTTTCATCTCCTGGTTTAGGTTTTTCTTTCTCCTTTATCTCCTAGTTGTGACCTGAAGGAAGGCTGAACTGGGGAATCATGGAGCAGATTCAGAAAGCAAAAACCCTGAGAGAAACCCGTTTTCCTGGTCAGAGGATCAAGAAACGGGTCCGTGAGAGCTGCAGAACGTGAGGGGAATTCCCGCCTCTCCTCTCTCTTTTCTCTTCCAGCCCTGCAGACATCTGCCTGCTGCAGGGATGGTGGTGGCCTCCGTGCAGGCACCCAGAGTCCCTAAAGGAAACCTGCCTGTCTGAATAGTGAAATCAGGAAACGGGGCACCTGTACGCAAGGAGTGTGAGTGGAATCCTTCTTATTATTTTTTCTCTCTTTGCTCTCTCCACATCACCGCAAAGGTGGGCCAGGTCGCGCAGAACTGCACAAGAGCATAGGAGACTAAAACTCTGGGAGAATCCCAAGCTTCTGGCCATGTCTAGAAGCCAGAGAAGAGAAAGCTACAGAGCCATGTGTCCTAGTTCTATTTGTGGACCAACACAAGGCCCCAGCTGATCCCCAAGTGGTGTGTGGGGGACACTCTGAAAGAAGCCTAGTAAAGGCTTTAAGAACTAAACTATGATATAAACCCCCACCCAGCTCCCAGGCTGACCCCTGAATGGCTGGCGCAAGAGGCAGACAGACTCAGACAACATAGTTAAGGCCTTGAAAACTGAACAGACGTTACTCAAAATATAAAGAGCAAGAGAAATACGAACAACTCGCAAGGGAAAAGACAATCACCAGACGCGGTCCTGAGCAGCTATTGTAACTCCTCCACACGGCGAAGGTGACACTCCTGACTTGAACGTAAGGTAGATCCTCTCGGCGGAGAAATAGAAATTATTTTTAAAAATGGAAATTTTAGAACTGAAAATACAGTATCGGGGGGTAAAAACTCACTGGGTGGATTGAAAAGCAGAACGGCGATGACAGAGGGAAAAATCAGTAAGCTTAACGGTGGATCCGTAGAAATTATCCCGTCTGAAGAACTGAGAGAAAAAGATTGAAAAAGATACAAACAATCGTCACACACATGTGGGACAATGTCAAATGGCCCGACATTCATATCATTGGAGTCCCTGAAGAAGAGGAGAAAGAGATGGATGCGGGAAAGTATTTGAAGAAGTGGTGTCTAAAAACTTCCCAAATTTGACAAAAGATGTAAATTAAAACCTCAATGATATACGATCGATCTTCATTATTCACGGAATTTCTATGTGCAAATTTGCCTACTCGCTAAAACTCATTTGTAATTTCAAAATCAATACTCACGGCTATTTCGCAGTCATTCTCAGGCATGCGCAGAGCAGCGAAAAAAATTGTACCGTCTGAAGCGCTCATTCGCAGCTGAGCGGGAAAAGGCTACCCCGCCTCCTTGTTTCAGCCTCGTGCAGAGATGGGCGGAGGACCGGACGGTAGGGGGCAGTGCAGCGCGTACAAGGAGCTCCAGTCTGGGTCCGCTGCAAGGGGTTTGAAACCCGACTCGAGCGGGACGGCCTTGAGCAGTCACTTAACACTTCTCAACCTCAGTTTCCTTTTTGTAAAATAAAGAAAACAGAATCTACCAGGAGGAGTTATTTCTAGGATTTAAGATTATAATCTATGAGATAGACATAGATACATACATATTTCTCCTAAGGGTAATGGTTCGATATTCACTAATTCTTTGTTTGCAGTGACTTTAAAGAACTCAACTACTGTGAATAAGAGAATCAGCTATATTATCGAGCCATACAAAGGAAGGAAGGATATGTTACAACATGGATGAACCTTGAAAAGGTGTTCAGTGCAAGGAGCCAGTCACAAAAAGAATGCATGTTTCCATTCATATGAAATGTCGAGAATAGGCAAATCCGCAGGGACAGAAAGTAGATTACGGGTTGCCAGGGCCTTTGGGTGGAGGGGAGCAGGGAGTGACTGCTAATGGGCATGGGGTTTCTATCTGGGGTGATGAAAATGTTCCGGAATTACATAGTGATGATGATTTCATACTTCATGAATGAATACACTAAAAATCACTGAATTCTATACTTGAAAAGAATGTTTTATGATATGTGAATTATAGCTCAATTTTTAAAAGCAATGATATTCTACTACACATCTATTACCATGCCTAAATTTTAAGGAAAAAAACCCTCACAATAGCAAGTGTTGACAAGGAGCTGGAGGAATTGGGGCTCTCACGCAGTGCTGGTGGGAAGGTAAAATGATATGTGAATTATAGCTTTCGGGATAGAAAGCCGCGACTGGCCCTGCGAGAAGACCACACAGCGGCTCCGGGGTCAGGCTCTCCAGCCCCAGTCCCACGACCTTGGAGAAGTAGCAACCACTTTGGAAAACAGCTTGGCAGTTTCTGATTAAGTTAAACATACACTGAACATACAGCTCTGCAATTCCACTCCTCGGTTTTTCCAAGTGAAATGAAAAGCTATGTTCACACAAAAACCTATAGATGAATGTTTACAGCAGCTTTATCTGTAATCACCATAATCTGGAGACAATCCAAATGTCCTTCACCTGGGAAACGCATGGAAACTTATGGTATAGCTGTACAATGGGATACTGTTCACAACTAAACAAAACCAGCTATGGTTGGATGAGATGACACGGATGAACCTCAAATACATCGTGCTAAGTGAAGGAAGGCAGCCAAAAAGCTATATAGCACACGATTTCATGCATATGGAATTCTGGAAAAGGCAAAACTGAGGGGAAAGAAACAATTCAGCAACTGCCAGAGGTTAAGGGTGGGGGTGGATTTAAGCACAAAGGGGCAGAAGCATGAGGGAATTTGAGGGGTGGGGAATGACCAAACTGTTCCGGACCTTGATTGCAACTTCGAGACTCCACACATTTTCAAATCTCACACAACTGTACACCAAAGAGTGGATTTTATTGTACGTAAATTAAAAATAAAATTTTTTAAAACTCACTGATGAAAAACCCAACTTCATAAATCAGAACATCACTTTATAGACCATTTCTTTCTCTTTCTGTTTTGGAGTATTAAACTGATTTTTGACAAAGCAGCGACTTAGGCTGGTCCCTTGAGGATAGCTGAGTAGCTCAGCGTGCAGTGTCCAAACGGTCCGGGTGAATCAAAAGGGCCAGAACAGCAGCAGGCAGGCCAGGCCCGCGGTCATGCTCAGTGTCCAGCACGCCACATCGTCAAGGCGCACAAGACCGCTCTGCTCACAGCAGGCCCTGCTGCAGGGTCTAACGCCCTGCAAAGACAGGCTTACAACAGCTTGGAAGGTCAGAATCCCTTCCAAACAGGCTGGAGGAGAATGGCATAGTGGCAGTTCTAGAACGTTCTGACAGGAAACAAGGCAGAAGTGCAGTCATACAGATTGGGGCAACATGACCGTGCACGGACAAGAACGGACATTGAAAGAAGGACAAGGAGAAAGCAGAGGGGCAGGGGAGGAATGGCTCCACTTAATGAGCGCTTACTGTGGGCTGCGCTCTGACCTCTGCACTTTATAACAAAATTCCAGTATTTTCTGTGGCATCTGTACTGCTGGTTGTGTTGCCGGATCATTTTAAAGATATACAAGAATTTTTTTTTTTTACTTTAAGGATTATGAATTTTTAATTGTCTTCTATTTATGGCTTTTCATTTATGGTAGTAATATAGTTCCTTTTTAAAATATTTATTTTTCCTCAA